CTCATAGTTAAAATCGAGCGGGGTTTTGATGCCCCAGGGGGAAGGTGGTCTGGTAGGAAATCGAAGAACTTGTACGGTGAAGAGTATTGGTGAAACAGAGTTGAAATCACCTATCTCGTAATATATTTCTCTAAAATAATATAGAGTAGACCGATCGCAAATAAATCATTTTGGAATTAAGGAAATTTCCGTGTAAATGTAATTCCATTGGAAGCAACAACAAAAAAGCAGTGCAACGTAGAGAACCTAGAAGTGAAAATTAACCAGCGGCTGGAAGGTTTGTAATTAAGAAGCTAGGAAAACAAATGAGAAGGGAGGCGCGCTTTTCTCTTTCAAAATTTCCATTCCATTACCGTTCCACGGCTGGCAGGCTACTGTCGCGAAATTCAAACGGGGTTAACAGCCCCGTTGTCACAACGTAGAACGGTTCAGAGAGAGAGAGAGAGAGAGAGAGAGAGAGAGAGAGAGAGAGAGAGAGAGGAGGGAGGTAAGTAGGGGATGAAAGTAGACGATATTGTCACGTTCCAAACCGCGGCGTTATAAACGCTTTAACGTCCTTAATAAGCCTGTTGTAGCACCAAGGATTATTGGCCACGATATTCTCAGCCAACCCCTTTCGTCTTTTCGGTCGTCGTTTCGCGGTCGAAATTCGAGGGAACATAACGACGCCGTTGCCCGGGAATACCATTGAGAATGATGCTGGCAGCTTGCAAGAAGATGGAGCTTTAATAAAGACAGCTATAATGTTAAAGAAACGGACTGCTGGCACTGCAATGCGCCCGTCAGAATCATGCGACTCGCAATTGTCTGGCATTCTCGTGTAATGTACCATCCTCAGCTATCCGGTCAAATGTTTTTCCGCGATGCAAACGCGTCGCGTAACTTCCTCTGCGACAACAGACTCCCCATATATCCTCTCCTTGCGTTACCGCATGAATTCTTAAATCTTATCCCGAGTCTTCACCCTTGTCTCTACGTCAGGAGCTTTTAAAGTTTGAATTGTCTTCATAGAATTGCTCTTCGTTGGATCGATATCGTGGAAGCAATTTATTCCTGAAACTTACTTATTGCAATAATTTTGGGGTTAAGATCTGTGTCAGATTGTATTCTCTTTAAATTGTACCGCGAACATGAAAAATTGAGAATTAATTGAACCGTGCCTTGACCTTAAGCTAACTAAGAATCTTTTGGTAAATCATGCCGAGAGCTTAAGTAGCTGAAAACAGGACAGAAGATCCGAAACACGTACACTTGACCCTGATAACTTTGGTGAAAGGGAGCGCGCTTATCAGTTATGTACGCTGCAGCGCGCAACAAAGGGATGTTCTCGCGTTGGGGTGCGCCGTTAAAAGTGTATCTATTTTTTTCTTTATCGTACGTTCGTTATTAATGGAGGCGTCCTATGATAAGGTAATCGCACTTACACGGCTGTCGCTGAAGATATCCCTCTCGATACTCGTATACCTTATGTTAATGTCTCCCCAACGCGAAGTGTGTCTCATTTATGGGTAGGCAGAGACATGAGCACCGGCGGACGCCGTTTCGCGGTTACGATGTCGTTACCGTATCGGTATATACGAGGCGATGAAAGAGAGCCACGGTTTTAGAGGGGTAGGCGGATCCAGCCGCGAGGGACACGGTTCTTGGGACGACGAGTTTATCCAGGACGTCAGGCTTACGGATAAATTAAGCATGAATTTCTGTGGACGGAACGACATTTCTTCGACGCTACTGTGAATTACGTATAACGTGTATTGAGAAGTCGATAGACGACGATGGAACGTAAAAATAATAGCCATCGGTGCCGTTCTGTGAATAAAAAATATTTAATATTCATGTTATCAGGTATACGCACGTGTAATGTGTAAGTCTTACACATGAAAATGGAGCATCTACAAAAATCAACTATGATACCACGCCAATCGATACTCTTCACTTTCGATCCGGGAAATTTCTGACTCAACTGTATAGTTTTAGTGAAATTGGGTACTTGATCCAATATCGTGCAAGAATGTACCAAATTCTTGCACGAGAAGTTTCGAATACTTCCTGTTTCCAATTTTAAAGTTTTGTACGGTAAACGTGGAGCACCTCTCCTTACATCACAGTAGCTTTAATGAAAGTTTGAGAACCTAAAAGTAATTATAAATTGCACGCAAGCTGTTATCGAACACGAATTCAAATTTCAAGAGGAAGAGACAAAACTCCCGAGTTTGGATGTTCTGCTAAGAAATAAAACTATCGCAACTTTTCTTCGTCTTGTCCAATGCCAGTGCTCTCCCACCCAACACAACCGAATTAATTAATTTGTGGTATATTGATATTACACGGTTAACCACATCGAAACCTCGGTTAGCATATTATTGTATATACATGTATATACTACAATCAGATTACAGGAGCGTAGTGCAAACCGTTCTCAAAAACCGCATCGATGGAGACGCATTATCGACACGCAGGAAATTTATGCGTAGTACGTTTTACGACACGTGGAAATCCGCGTTAACCAAGTTTTTAATCACCCTGCCCTATCGGACGTCATAAACTATCGAGTACTGCGAAATTTGGAATCGAAGTAGGATACTCCGATACGAACCGATAATGAAATAATTGGAAATACGTGTGGCATCCGAAAAAGAGGAACAACATAAAAATTAAACAAATAACTCATTTTAACATCCAAGAAGCCATAACCATACTTCAACTCGCCAAGCATTCGAAGATCCAAATATTCGCGATAAAGACGTCGCAGAGAAATAACTGTGCGCAATTAAAGGAATCGTTTCCGACGAGTCTTGCCTCGAGTCTTCTCTTTAATTATACGCTCACGAGAGTTCGGAAAGGCGCGGAAAAGTGAAAGGAACGCGAACTGTTATAAGAGAGCGACGAGAAGCCGGGCGAGGAGGAAACCAGAGGCAAAAGAAGGGGATGAGCCACCTCCGAGTAACGAGCGAACTCCTGCGCAACTACTGCCTCATATAATCAATTAGAACTCTTAAACGAGTGAGATGGTAATGGAGTTGAGCTAAGTACAAACTGGAGCAAACTGGCGCCAACTCGAACGAACGTATCAACCACCGCCACCATTCCAGCATCGGTGCGCGTAGCCTGCCCACTTCAGATGCAACCGCAGATCTTCGATATTTTTCGAAAATGGCTGTTATCTCGAACCACAAATTTGAAGGACATCGAAGACGCGTAGAGGAATCTATCGCGAAGTGGCTAGGACAATCTCTGTTATCTTAAACAGCTCGTTCGTTTACGGATCCTTGGTCTTCGAAGAAGCCACTTTCGACTCCTTTCTCATCCCCCTTGACGTTGACAGAGCATTGTTCCACGACCGAGATTTTCCCCGAATCTCCCTTCTACGAATCGGATAGGGTAGATAAGAGGACGAAGGGAAGGATCCCTAGAAACGTCAACTTGTTGTTTAACCTACAATGATGTCGCTGGATCCATCGACTGTGATGTTTCTCCATGCATTTTTTTCATAATTACTCAACATAATGATCCATTATTTTGTATGTATTCGCCACGATGAAGATTATATTCGTCAATGTTGTCGTGTTTGTGATTTCAGCTCAAATTTAATAACGACATTACTAACTGTGCAGGTTCTCCTTCACCCAGCGTCCTTGACCTATATGTAAAGCTCACGAAATTAGCGGATAGACATATGCAGCGGTGCTTCATTAACGGTGACGTAATTTATCGCCGGTCGGGACAGTTAATAATGATGGGAATTTAATGGCATCGGGAAGCTTCGAAATTTCCCAGACAAACGTTAATCATTTTTCGAACGCGGGAATATGCATACTTGCACACGATCCCATTGTTAATCACTGTGTCACGTGTCAATGGGAAATTAACGTGACCATATGGAAATATGTGGCTGACTGATTAATAGAAATTAATTTCCTAAATTTAGGCAAACACGTGTATTACGTCGCCTGGTAGATGTATCTGGCTAGCTACATAATTCCTCATCGCTCAAAGGAACCAAAATTCCTACGACTAGTTCATTCCATAGAGACTATTACGTTCAATATGGATTTGGTTGGTTTCTAGGACCCGCGCCATCGCGTATGAATCACTTCGAGGGGACCCATTTAAACCCAGGTGACGTATCCTAAATCGCCCAGATTGAAACTTCTTCGAGCTGATCTCATTTAACGAAGCACCGTCTAAAAGTTCCGAATCGAAGGTGGCCACAATTTTTCATTTCGAAACGAGTACGTATCCGTAATGAAGATCTGGTGGCTAATTCATTAGGGACGCCACGGCCAACGTGATGGACGCTGTTCGTAAATTTTCATGGCGCAGCTGTTACTCTGCGGTCTAGGAGAAATCGAAGGAAGGAAGTGGGCAAACAGAGGAAGAAGGTCCAGGTCCACGCGAATCCCTGATTCGGCGGGGATCCTTGAGAATCTTGGCACACACGATTCTCTGGTTTAAGGCGATCTCGGAGAATCACGGTTATTCGCTCGTGGCGAGGCTGTCAATAACTTGGCCAGGGCTATCTCTTCCCTTTCAATTCGTCTGTTCCTTTGGGCTCACGTGCTTTCTCGCCTTGTCCGTCATCGCGTGTACCGTGAAAGAGATCCACTGGCCCGCCTCTTGGCTTTCACCTCACCTTTCTGGCGCAGCCTCCTCGTTTTACACAGCTAAATCCAATTTCAGTTTACCGCTTCTCGCACTTCCCAAAAGGATCTCCGCGGTAACTCGCCTCGCCATTGTGGCCCTTTCGTCGTTTTTCGACGGTCGAGGACGAGTGGTTTCATCCCTCTACCCTCCCCCCCGTATAATCTCTTTTCGTTAAGCAGTTGAGCAGAGGGATCCTGCCGATATCATTTTCAACGCCACGAATCGATTCGGGCTGAGATGCCATTATTTGGTGTCTAACTTTGAACTATTTACCAATTTCAAATTTCAAATTGTAAATAACACGAACAACACTGATTATATTTAATGTATAATTTCGCGTTCCTTTCGTGTTTCAGGTGACTGGTATCGTCGGACGAGCGGACGTGCTGGCTTGTATTTTCTTCCTGCTGTCGTTTCTAGCTTATCACGGGTAAGTGTGATTATAAACAGAATTCTTTCACTTAGAGTACACCTATTATACATGCGTCTGCAAATCCTCTCTACAATTCCGTCCCCGTGCCGATCATTTCCAACACAGAGTAATCTTCATCATTCGATGCAAGGAAAACAATTTCGCCGTGTACTTGCGGTTACGCCCATCGAGATGGTAACAGAATTAATAATCGTGATCCGCGTACGCTATGCCATTGTTGCACGGCGTCGCGACGTTCGTTGCATGTTCAAGTTGTTCGGAACTAAGACGAAGTAAAATTGACTCACCGTTTAATATCGTAACAAGCAGCACTGATAAGGTCAACATCACCGTGTGCAAGCTATATTGTATAGCCATAGGAAAAATGAAAGCATCCTGTAGTTTAATAGTCACTTCCATGCTAGAATATTTGAAACAATTTTAAAACGAAACGTACACGTGGACGAATTTACATTGGAATCGACGAGTTTCTCGATTCGATGAAACATTCACGGTGTCTTTGATTCGATAGCAAAATTCCATCGTTAAGCAAGTAATAACTGTTCAATACGGAATACACGTGTTCCATATACGGTGAGCAGTATCATCAGTGACAATTAGCTGGTCAATTCCTATCGACATATTTCAAACCGATGACGTTTAGCTATTGGACTCTTTTATGCGTTGCTACGTGAAAAATATTATATCATTCCATGTTACTTACATGAGAATCTTTGCAAACATCTTTGCCAGTGGAAATGTACAACGATTTCCTTAGCTTCTCTCTCTCTATTTCTGTGTTCGAGTCGCAAATAACCTAATAAGGTAGCGTGTCTGAGGCATAATACACCCATAACTTCGAGGGAACTTACCGGCTGCACATGCATACGTCAGCGACGTCGGGCGTCGCTTAGCATCGGGACGACGCCAGTCTGACGCGGAAACAGCGGCCCATTAATTCTCATGAGCACGAGGGCGGTGTGTGGAAATTATAAACTAAACTAATTTACTTGGGCCTCGATGCAGGGCTGTACGCGCTGCTGTAAACGTTCCACGGGTCGTTTACATCGACCCCTAACCGTGAAAATATAAAGTGTTTGCGAGCAGTCCCGCGAACTTACGACGGAAATCTTTTTATCGCCGCTCTATAAGAGGATTCGGTCTTACGCATGGCGAACGGTGTAAGATCTAGGCTCGAAACGAGCGACGAGGAAGACGTTTACTTCCATTCAATGGAGGGCATTAGCGAATTCTTTCTAGTCGTTTTGGTGTTTTCTCTTTAGCGAAGAAGATGTTTTATTCGGTATTATTTGCGATATTCCTGTTGCTTCAAAGAAGGATTTTTCTATGCATTTTTTTGTTCATAGAAAGATGGAATGAACAGGTGAAAGGAAATTCTCTGTTAATAAATACAGAGTAGGTTCCATACTTTTAATAACCAGAAATGGGATCGATAAAAGATCGAGATGACACGATATAGAATTAAAGTGTGAGTACTCTACTCTCTAATCTCGATTCTATGACTATCTGGCCTAAGCTATCGTTTCACATTGTATACCGTACTATTCAAATCACATACGAAATCACACACACGCCATATAATCGTGCCACGTATCTTCTTCCAGGAAAACTTTCCACGTGTATTCTAGGAATCTATGCTTAGACTCGGTTTGCACGCAACCGATATTCTAGGCTAAACTTTCGTTCGATTTCGTTTATTCTATTACGTAGGAGCTCATTATTAGACTGCAAATTTTATGCGCTTATTGGAGCGCCAAATACCGATCGAGCGAAACGTTCACCAATCGTGACGTTTTCGTTTCACATTTCGATTCGCAAGGGTTCACTTTTTCGAATCGACGCGACGTCTCCGGGCGCGAAAACATGATCCAATGAAAGTAACGTTTTCTGGTTTGGCAAAATTAATTTTCACGAGAGACAGGTGTAATTAAACTTGAACCGTCCGGAGCAGACGTGGCTGCTCGAAACGAGGGAAAACCCATTCCTGCTACAGCAATCGATAGAGGCGTATCCCCTTTTGGTGAGCAACGGTTCGAGTGAACGCGTACTTATCCGGCGTGCACACATTTTTCTCCTCGATGCGAACGGAAAGAGAAACAAATATCGAAAGCGGCATGAGCCGTGCAAAATACGTGGTATATCGAGAGAAACGAAGGCGCATAATGCGCAAACGACCGGGAAAACGTATGCTCCGACTAAATGGGCGACGATCCAGGTCAGTGTGTCAACCTCCGGGCTTTTAAGTAATGAATCTCGAACGAATATTCGTATTTAACAAAAAAATAAATTTTGTAGGGAAATGAATTGTGCGAAACGTTCTGGAACAAATATTCCTTGTTCAGAGTCCGTGACACCGTTTGCCGAATTATTAAAACGAATTAGACCGTTCGCGACGTCGTGATTTCATTGAATCGTCTTCATTTTCATCGTCTTCATCGTCTTCATCGTCTATATGCTAGTTTATCTTCTCTCATGATCAAGGTATGGTTATTGTACTAGGTATACCCATCTTATTATAAAACTAAACCGTACCTTCGAAAGCAATACTTCGTCCCAGGATTCGAATCGACGAAAAAATTAAAGTGAACTTTTCCTCGCGAGATACCTTGCATCATTTAAAGAGCAGACATCTGTTTGGCGGTTGACCTGTTTCAAAAGTATCGCGGATTTCTATTCATGTTGCCGGGTCAGGAAGTTCTCGGACGAGTGCACTTCAAGCTCAAACGAACGTTTCGGAAAACTTTCCCAAAGAAAGTGAAGCCGCAGCATCGGCTCCAGCGTTGGTGGATTGGCAGCCAGATGACAGATAAGCGGCTGTTTCAGAAGTGGAGGAATTCATCCATTTCTCTTTCCCGCTTCGACATGGTTTAACCTGCCTTTTCAGAGACGCTTCTTCTTTGTAGCGTAATTGCGGTCCTTAGAATTCAACCAGAGTCGATTTTCCTTTCCGTGGCGGAGAACTTGCAGTTACTCGGAATTTAAATGACCAACGACTTATCCCTACCAGATGCTGCGATAGACACGATATTCGAAAACCCCGTATCGTGAAGTACTTAGCAGTCAGCCGTCGTTAATTTTTCATGCTTGGAAGTAACCAGGCTTCCAATCAGTTGCTCGCTGAATCTTGGAAGCACTTAGCTTTCCGTTAATCTTTAGTTAGTCAACCAACATCCAAGGGGTTCGAGATCGAGACAGTTTATCGAGCAATTAGACTCGAATTGCACGGTTTAGAAAATCTCTCTTCCTATTACTCGTTTATTAGATTGCTTCACAGATGAAAATTGCCTTTCTTTTCTTCTTGTTACTCCATCATGTCGACTCTCATTTTGAACAGTCCTCGATGAAAGATTTCTAGAATAATTTCTAAGCAGTAGTCTCGTCCAACCACCGCCTTGATATCAATTTAGAGTCCGTGAAACAATCCCCGTCGCCGCGAGGTATCTTTTTGCGGGTAATTACCGTGGCGTATCCAATAAGTAATAATTTCCGCACGTAATCCTCTATCTTCCAGCGCAAGCATACCGTCGGCTGTTTTTGTCGGTACCCTCAGAACTCGACGCCCTGCCTCGTTACGTCAACCTTCCATTAATCCTACTTACGGAGCTTTGATGTAAATTGTAAGAAATGCCGGGCCGCGTTGCCATAGACGTCCTCCCTGTTTTTACGGCCCTGCAGTTCGCGCTTTTGCCTACCCATGGACCTTCGCCGCGTTAACCTGGGCCCACCCACTACGAAATTCCGAGCGACGTTTTGCAGCGAATTCGACGCTCGACGCAGATTAATGTACGCAGCAGGAAACACGATCAGGCTGCCGTGTCAAGGGTGAAAATTGTTTTTCGAGAGCTGTTTTGTCTTCGATGGACCACGAAGGAATGAAAGAAAACAAAGTTTATCCTCCGAGTCGATTGTTCAGATATGACTTAAACTTAACTTGAACGATTCATACGCATTGTGATATTTTCTATGGTCGAAGTGTGTAAAATTTACCGAACAGAAGATTCCAAATTGAAACCTTCGTTGTGGAAATTAAATAAATAGTCGACTAAGAAGAAACCATAAAATTTGTCAACCGGATGGAAGGAAAGCGAATGGGATTTCTAAATTGAATGTTGAATTCATAAGCTGTCCAGTGCTTCCTCCATCGTAACGTTAAACTTTTACAATATGGACGAGTAAATGCATCGCAAATGAAAACCGTGGAAAACACTCAACGCTGGGAATATTTGGCGTTGTTTGGCGTTACAAAAGCGTACCGAATAATTTCATAAATTTCTCTGCTCCGAAGGCAGCTGAAACCAGCAAATTTGAGAGAACCAAACGGAGAAATTGCGATGTAATTACCGTAAAAAATGTAAACGTGAAAGAGAATTCAAATCGTTGTTTAATTCAGCTTGAAATGTAAGAAGAGAATTCATGAAATACTCTCAGAATAAAATGACCTTTTGGTAGCTTTGTATAAAAGTTAAGAATTTTCTCCGTTGTTCGAAGGCGAATATTTGAAAAATGTTGATTCGTTCGTGAAAAGATGGAAATCTCGGTCAACTTTATTTAACATGTAACCAAGCTCGTTAGCCGAACTTATTCAAAATACGTTATTAACTCTGGAAGCACCTTTTCAATTCAAACGTTTTCAGCACTGATGATATGCAAAAGATGTCTCCAACTTAAAGTCAAACGAAATTTTAATAGAAACCCAAGGGGGTTGCGTTCTGAATTTAGCAGTCTAAGAATCTTGGAATATAAACTGGGTCTCTTTTAAAATGTCTTAATCTCCTTTAACGATAGAAGAATAAGAGTAAACGATAAATTTAAATAATAAATAATAATAATTATTTGTTCACTACTCTATCTCTAAGCAATTATTCCATATTTATTATCCATAATGATGGTCGCTGGAATTTCAAATTTATCTCCCTTACACTTATCAAAAGGTGTTCAATAACAAGCAGACGTTCGCCCATGCGTGACAAAGCATTTCCGAAAGTAATCAGCACATCCGTTTGATACATCACTCCACTCAGTCATCCATCGGTCTCGAACTCATATTCGATCGTTCCTGATCCAATTTGTTTTACGCATGACAAAGCAAGAAAGAGTATCAATTTGTTCGTTCCCTATTCGCAATGACTTACTCTCCATTACGTTCCCACTTTTTCCATCAAACTCTACAGACCAGAAATCATCGATCATCCACACCATTTTTCAATTGGTCAATTAATCGATTTAAAGTATTAGAGAAAAGTCAGTTGTAAACAGGGCCAAATCAGTTTATATTGTAGGAGTCTAAACGAAAAATAAGGCACGGGGATTCGAAGCCACGATCCTCGGATCCACAGAGTCGACCGCTTCACCTACGCGACCAATCCCGTACCCTACGTTTCGTGTTCTTATTCGACTCCTTATTGTTGGGTATGGGAGGCGCGGACACTACAATATTTTTAACAGTTTTGAATAGTTTTTAAATATGGTAGTGACTCGAACGTCTCCGTTGCACGTAATAAATGTTCAATTACAAAGTAAGAAAAAATGAAGAATATAGCAATTAACATACCTTGTCATGCAACGATCTTCAAACGTTTCAAGTACCGTATTTCATATGCATGGATCGAAGAACTCCTTCAGACAAGGCACTTCAGTTGGCTACTTGACAGCTGTTGCCGAGAACCACTGACTTTGACATCGCAGAGTTACATACAGAGTGCGCTAGAAGTTCCTACACTACCTTTAATCCTTATTTTCCACTACTATTTGCAAATTTTGTTGATATTTTCTCTGTGTAATTCATTTTGCAATTTTCGCGTCGAGTAGTAACCGTTCCAAGCTAAAATTCTTTATCTGTATGGTGTTTTCTTCAAAAGGCGATAAGATTTTTAAATCGTCGAGTATCGTCGTAAAACTCTAGCGACGTAACTTTTCGATCTGAAGCTATTACAATATATTATCTATAAAAAAGTTGATTTATCATCCAAACAAATCAAAACTCTGACTCGAGGGATCGTACTGAGATGGACGCTGAACGAAAGTTCGATTTTATGAACTTTTTGTAGTTGAACCATTACGTTTTATTCGCTTGCAAAAAAGCTAAAAATAGAAATTATCGAGAAATATTGATATCTCAATTAAAAAAAAAAAAAAATTCGTATCGAATCGGATGTTCGCGTTGAGGATCCAGCTGCGCATATAAGCCCATAACAGTATCCACGGTTCGTCCCGTGCGGGTGGGGCTTCTACTCTGCGCAAATAAAACTGCGGCACGCACTGCGCAGCCTGCATCGCATGCATAATTTAATAAAGCTCTTACCTCGTCCGACGAAATATTTATCTGTGCGCACGGCCGTTGCAAACCCGGAAGCGTCGGGCGATTTTTCGTTCGTGACGCGATCCAGCTGCTCGACTTGGGTTTCAAACGATCCAACACAACCAGCGACCCGGCGCACGACGATTAAATCGTTCCTCGCTCGACCGATGCGTGCGTTTCGTTTCGATCGATCGCAAAACTGGCCCGTTTTATCGCGTATTCCTTTTTCCAGCCGTCCATAAAACGAAATTACGAGCCATCGTAATCGGGACGATCGTGCGGGGCTCGCGTGCCCGACGCGCGCCAATCTTTGCCTTTCCTTTGACCGACACCTGCTCAATATGCAAAACGGTAATTGGCTTTTCTCGTCGCTCCAAGAGTTCTTAGTCTATGTTCTTCACAGTTTTTTTTTTTTTTTACATCTTTTCAATTGGTAATACTCGTTTAATTTTTTCACGTATACATAGAATTACGTCGACTGATCGTGATTTTTATTGATAGTTGAATCAGTCTTATCCCTTCTATCACCGTGTTAACTCCTTGAACTTGCAGCCAAAACTCTGATCCAGACCGTGTATCTTTGCGTTGAAACAACGCGTTGGAAACCTCACTCTTTTTTCCAGTTATGAGGCTTTAGTGGCCAGGACAACAAGTGTAAACTGTTGTTCTGGCAACAATGACCGTAACAGCGAACCGCATTAAATGAAATCTTTCGGATTTGCTTCTGTTCCAGGCAGCAGACGGCTTACGTGTGGAGCAGTGTGTGCCTCGGGGCGCTGTCGATGTTAGCCAAGGAAACCGGCATTACTGTTTTGCCTCTAAACCTTCTTTACGACCTCTGTCGCTCCTGGCATTCAATCAAGAGGTAAGCGTTTAAGCGTCCAGGTCGTAGAACAGTTTGGAAACGCGACACGTGCCTTCCGCTAATAAATTACGAAATAAGAAGCTACAATGTCTGACGGTGAGTCGTACCGTCGCGACTCCCAACTTTACGCGACTGTCCTTGTCGAGGTTCGTTTGTTTATAATGAGACTTTAGCAACGTTCGAGGCATAGTTGCGACCCTGGAGGATACACGTATTTATTCTCTCTTAGAAAAGAGTCGCCATTGTCCAAGTTCTCGAATCACTCGGTATACTTATTATATGGGGCAAGCTCGTCGCGTCGTGAATGTTTATTTGAACTTTACTTCGCGACGACTTGGCAGTCTCGACAAACCTCTCATACTTTATTCCGCGCAACTTCAATAGCAATTTCGTGCTCGCAACCTCCTTCGGATGTCGGGAACAATGAAAATCTTTACTTTCTCCGAGAGCGCAACAAATAAAGCACATTCAATTGACGGTCATAAACTTGCCGCGTTTCGCGGAACAGACTATTCAAAATTGACGACGAACTCGCGGAATGAGCGCGGGGTGAATTATCCTTTCGGATCGCGTCGCGACTGCGGACTTAAAGCACCTTTAAAAGTAGGATATAAAATCGCATAACCGACGCGACCCCTCGAAACGTAAAATGCGAATATCCTCTGAGTGCTCGTTTGCGCGCCTGCGCGCTGAAAGTAAGATTTGTATGCGGTGGATTTGCATAACGAAGTCATTTCAATCTAAATAAAGCGTTAAATATTACGACCAGCTGGTAAATAAACGTAATAAATGCAATATTCCAGATCTATTTTCGAGGCAAGATGGAACGACGATTCGAGACACTTTTCTCGACGTGCTGCGGCTCTACTCGTTTCGGTGAGTTAATATCATATTTCTATGGACTACTATAAATACCGCGAATCTTTACGTCGCGTTTTCACGCAAATCCGTATCCCATCGCGTTCGACGACCGTTAATGCCACGTAAAAGCCATTGTGCGTCGCGAAACAAAGCGTGAAACGGAAACGGTTGGGGCGAACCAGTCTCGCTGCGATCGACCGTAACGAAGAAACTTTCGCGAATTTTCAAAGCGCGTCGAACAAAACCTACGTTCGTATTTATTCCGGCCGTTTGCCGCCATCACTGCCCGTGTAAACGACCCCCGACCATAATTCCGCGGAAACAGTACGAACGTATATCAAGTTGAGAATGTTTTCGAGCTCGGTGGCATCGATTGCCAGCACGCAATTTCAATTTTATTATCGTTCCGTCGCGCATGGCCCGGAATTTCCTGGACGGTGTCTCGAGAGCGAAGGCGATCCGGTTTCAACGAGGATAAATGGATAAATGGATCTGTCGACTTTTCCCTACCGCTCGATTCGTTTCTACCCGATGGAAGTGTAGACATTGTCGGTAATACAATAACGACAAACCTGTTAAGGTGTACCGCGTCGCTCGTTCTTCCGAAAATAGCGCAGGGCTTCCACGCACGATTGACTGATGCATTAGGGAACATCCACACTTCAATAGGGGGAACACTGATTTAAATGACAACTGTACACATCCAATTGTTCGAGCATACAACTTACAAATCGCGTTTAAAGATTTAACGTCGCGTCGAACAAGAGTTTCCAACCGTCAAGAAAATCCCAAGCTGTGTCTTGAGCTATTCGCGAACAGCCTCAAGATCCGCGTCGTTAATTCTTAACGACCGATATCTTCTTCTCCTTTTTTTTTTTTTTTTTTTTTTATCATCGACCAGTAGTTGCTGGTCGCTGGAGTTCGCCGCAACTCAGGCCTTAAGTATGTTTAACGATCGTTAACGCAGATACACTCGTCGCGGAGAGTTTCCTTTTACGATGGCGGAAAATAAACTGCGTTCCGCCGAATTGTTAGGCAACCACGGAAACTGCCTAGGCCGCGTTATCGCGATGTTAGATGGTCGTACTTTTAAGAGACCAACGATGAAATACGAGACCGGAACCGGAGGGGGTTGGCTTGAACTTAACAACCAAGTTATTTCTATACGGAAGAGCGCCGTTTTCTGACGTAAACTTGTGCTTGTTGGCCTGTCTTCAATGGAGTCGTTTGTCGGCGAAGGCGTGTCTATAACGGAAATAAGAGAATTTATTGGAATGCGCGTGGTAACGTTATGAAGTATTGGAAATAAGGCAGAATAGAACTATTGTGGATATCTCGATGCGCCAAGAAACGTAGATAGTAACGAAACTTCGAAGCGAAGTTGGGCAAATTAATTTGAGCTACATACTCGCGGAAATAATTGTTAAACCTATTGAATACACGCCAAGTTATTCATACTGCCTCCGCAATGCTGCTCGCAAGCTTCCCTAAATCAACGGGAACCGTCTAAGTTCATATTGATTCAAGAAGCTTCCGCGACACCGTGGTAAACATCATTATTCCAAATCGCGCCGTTGCTAATTAATAACAAAGTGCATTGCGCAAGTGATTAATTAGTTTTAATTAAGACAATGTAACGACCGTACAACGATCCGTACGTCATAAATTATGCGTAACAGTCGGTGTTTGAGGCGGCGAGCTTTATTAAAGATTCATTGATTTAATTAACGACTGTATCGAGCGATACAGGCCGGAGTAACATTGATTATAAATCATCGTGAAACGTACATACTCGACATGACTGTCGTACATGATATAGCATTTTATATTACTTAAGGATTGGTTGTTTCGCAAATTAGTGTCGTACATGGAAAATAATGGAAACGTATAAAGTATCACGAAGCTGATAGGAAACCAAGGGTGCGCACGGAATGTAGTTTGACCGAACACGAATCCGAGTTATGCTAATTTATGTCAAGAAACGAGGGAGTCGTGCGAGCACAACCCTCGTGCAGGGTCCCACGCACACTTCGCTCCCTCTACACCCTCCTCGTTCTTGTTACCTATTGCCACTTACGCGGTTCAAGATATGTCCTTTACGAGAGAGTTATTTAACATTCTTTTCCCTCGACAGATGCGCTGCATTTCAAAAACGAAGAGTTTTACTTTAAGGCTTGAAACATACTAAAGTAATTGTCAGCCTTTGGAGCAACTTTCATCATCGGAACTTTGCTCTCATTGAACGAATTATCAGTTAGATGGAAGTGTCTGTTTGCTTTGGTCGCGCAGTATTAGCCTCCGGATGCAGCCGAAGGCACGTTATGGTCGCTTGTAACGTAACAGCCGTAATCGATAAGCCAATACATTACGGACGCACATTGTTGACTGATTCTACATCAATTTGCCCGTTGTTAGTCGACTGGTTTACCGCTCAAATCTTACCTCCGGGTTTGGAATTATCTTCGGGCCGTGGGTGGGCACAATTATAATTTCATACGTCAAGTTAACACGTCGGTGTCGCGTCATTCGATAATGGTTTAGCTCGCTAACAGAGGGAACGTTTAAGCCGTCAATTGCTCAGCTGCCGATTCGGAAACGTGAAAGTGCATTCATTTATTTTATAGAATCGACGAAGCAGAAATGAAAATTGTATGATATTAAATAGATATTTCATGGCGCTGTTTTTCCACTCCGAACAAAACTTACTGCCATAAACGGAACGTAAGTCTCGCGGCATCTGGTGCAAAAATAAGACGCGCATCCCGTGGGCTGATCCGACCGCATAAAAATATGCGTACACCGTGCTCCGCCGTGAAAAATATATTCTCCGTCGCGTCTAGCTCCCGTTATAATACCACTCTGGGGTGCCACCAGGATAGCTAACAAGAGAGAAATTCCAGGCCGTATGGGTACGGCGGCGGCGCGGTCCGCCAACTCTGACGTTTCGTGCGCATCAGATATTTACCGAAATTGAATTTCCGTCTCGTTCTCCCGTGTTCCACGGGTCACCGGAACGGTCCCATGGCATAATACAATATTCCAGCGACCCTCCACCGCACGGGCAAAGACGTCCTGGTAGAACGAGAGGCGGTGTTCTACGTCGTGTACACGAGACGTTGAGGACCGCGTCGTGTATCGGAGGTAGTGTGTACACACGTGCGACGGGTTTGAGGAGGGTCGTCGTGTGTTCCCGATGTCATGGCACGATCGAAGAAGATATGAATACCTTGGATTGGCAGATATTGTCCGGTCCACGAACCCTTCCGGAACCTACTCGGCGCGTTCAGTTGTAGAGGAATCCTGGCGAAGACAGAAAGAGAAAGGGTTGATAGGGTTCTCCGATCAAGTGGAAGGGTAAGGCGTAAAGAGTGGTCTTCGTCTGGGAATGAGAGACGGGCTGGACGGCTATTGGGTTAGCGAACTGCCGTCGGCGTCGGAACGTGACGGAAATGCGCTGGAGGACGTCCACGTTGACCTGCGTGAACGCGACACGACTCGACTGCTATCTTCTTGAGGCTAGAGAAATAAATTGTTCTCTTTCATCGTGGTTAGCTAGTTAATGGAGGGAGAGGTATTGCTGCTGGTCAAAATTTACGCCCCTGGCTTTGATACAGTTGATAAGCTGTCACTAGGACCTAACGTCTAACAAACCTCTATGCAATTTAGTTCTAGATGCATAAAATGGAGCTGTACTAAGTGCGTACAACCGTGCCAGGCGGTAAAGTTCAGCGTAAAATTTGCAGCTTGCAACCTCCTTTCTTGTTTTCCGTTTCTCTAGCTGGCTAATGAAAGCTTCGAATGGTTCTAGCAGTGTAGCGAGTCATCCAGTCGAGAGTCTTCAGGAAAGGCTGTATGTAAGAGACTTTTCCGCAATCTGGATTCTCTTTTGTTTCCTTCTCATTCATCCTTCGAGCCGTGTAAACGCTAGGTAGAAAATTCGCGTTTTGGAGTCCAGGGTGCAATAGGGAAACAGCTCATAGAACATTCGAGTGTTTGCAGAAAGCGGGAAGCGAAATTACGTTCAATGTACTCGAGGGTGCTTCAAAAAATCCAAATATTCCTTGTTGGCTAAATAGAAACACAAAAATAGTATGTTCGTACAAGTGTAAGGTTACAATATCACACAGTTTGAATTAACTAGAAATTGTTTAGTTATATCGGCTTTCGCGTGGCGATGGCGATACACTTGCAACGCTTGAAGCATAACCAAATAGAAAAATTGCTGGGCAAACGCGAGTCAGAAACCATTCCAGGATATGCGTTAATAAAGGATTCCTTTTATTTACAGTTCGGTGTGCTGTTGGTTGTACGACTCGCTCTCCTTCACGGCGCTTTACCCAAGTTCTCACCGCAGGATAATCCGGCAGCTTTTCATCCCTGTTTCCACGTCAGGTGAGTATCCGCATAAGTCCTTTATGTTACGCGAGCAGTACCCAGGTTTACGATTACAATGTTTCAAAACTCATACCGATTCTGGAAGCATGGAAACTGTATACCATTGTCGTCCACCCAGAAGCAGCGCGACGGATAAATACAAAAGCCATACACGGAAAACGGGAAACACGGCAGTTTTTACGTGGACACGGTGAACACTGTTTCGCGTGAATTATTTTTACTTTGTTTTACGATACGCTTTACGTAATCGGATTGAACAACATTCGGTAAGTGGGAAATCCATAACGATGAGTGGAACGTACAGGATATTTACGTACATAAATAACGTTCTACTCGTGGCTGTTTCCTCTTCTCTTTTAAAGATTCATCGTTAATACTATTTATAATGTGGCGCAAATCAACGAATCAACGAATAGAATTGAATTTAACTTTAATTATTCTCCTCTTTGGGCTATGCCCGGAACGATATTTCCGTTCCGAAGTATTGTATTGTTCGTAGCACAACTCTGCAATGTACACCAGGGTTAAGAATGACAGTCTGATACAGAGTCGAGCGCGTATACATAGCTGTCTAGAATTCCTGGTTACGACTTGGAACGATAATGGCATTTCCAAGCTAGGTGAGATATCGAGTAGTCCTGAAAGTTCAGTTTGGAAAGCCACGCTGTTTTCCACGAGAAAGGGATCGAAATAAAGAGGAAGGCGTACGCGATGGGAGCCAGCTTCCGATGCACGCCGAAAAATTCTGAAATATACGACTCGATTTTACGGTCCGCCGGACGTGTCCGGTGAATCCGACTCCGCTATCTCCCCAGAAGACTGACGATATCGACTGGACCCCAGGTACCCATCGCGTCGCTACGAAGGAATATGTCCTGGTGGTTTACGCGAGCGGGAAAATAAAACCGATCCCGATGTAACGCTCCATTTCAATATCTCGATACGACGCGATACGCTTCCTCCTCGGTCCAGGGCCATTCGCGTTTCACTGGATACACCGGAACGGGCCACGCCGCTTCCGTCGCCATCCACGGAAGAATTATTGTATTATTCGAGGAGATGGAGAATGTGCTCCGTTTTCAATTCCGCATTCGCATTTTTGAGCGACTGTTTGTCACGTATGGTGGATGGGACATTATTCGACAACGAATGACCACGGAAACTGATAACGCGATCGTGTTCCCCATTTGGGGGTTGTTGTTGCAAACTCGCAGGCAGGAGGCTCGAAGAAAAATGTTTAAATACTTGTACGGTATATTCAAACTTTTCATCGCTCAGTCTATATTTTTTCGCAGAATAGTTTCCCGGCAAAAACTTGGGTACATTGGGAAAAACGTTGCTCGTTATCCGTCGATGGGAGAATCGGAGAGCAAAAAATGGCGGCTTTACTTAGCAAAGGAAGCGGAGAGCCGGGAAAAGACGCTCGATAATTTTAGCATATTGAAATATTGTTTCGTTCTTTTCGTTCGGTTCCGCTGTATCAGCGTATCGGGACGGTCGCGTTTCCGCCTTGAACTCTGCTCTCGTATTTATTCTTTCTTCCCCGCTGATACCGCTCCCAGGCTTCGGGTTTCCTTCCTTCCTTCCACGGTCTCGCTCCTTTCTTCGTCGGCGGCCAACCGAGCGGATCGACGGAGGTCGGCGAGATCCTGGCGGGGTTAGAGATGATATTATGCGAAATACTCTCTGCCTGGCTTCTGGGAACCAGCCCGGAATACTTTATGAGATGTATAATTTGGCCGGATGTATCGTCGTTTCGCGAAATAAACGACCATTCGAGCCTACAAACTAACTTTCTAGGCGTCTCGCCTGCTAAAGTGTCTAGATGCGGATAGTAGCCGCGAAGATTAGGCATACGCGTTGAAGACAAAGACAAAAATATTACGGTGAACTTAATACGAGCGAGAAAGTTTTACGTCTGGTGGTATTGTCACGTCTCTGTTCGACGATTTCGCCGGTGGCTGGCCTCATATACGTATGCGCACGTTGCGGGCCGACACGTGTCTCGGGGATGACGGTGCAAGTCGTGGAAATTCGAGCACGGTATTTCGTTTTTCCTAGCGTCCGTTAATATCGCTCGACCTAGAAAGATTTGCGAAATTGCTTCCCCTCCCGGACGATATTGATGAGACCGGATGGTCCCGCGTGGCTACTGCTTCGTTATTAGAGGATAAAGAAACTTGGAGAACTCGCGAGTTAACGCTGGTTATTTCAAAATGTAGAATTTCATCGCTTCGTTATTTTCGGAGCACTTTAAATAATATTATCATCGCAAAAATGCAAACGTCTGGGAGAGACACGACGTCGGGGACATTGAAATGGTTGGACAGTTATTAATCTCACGTGGTAGCAAGCCTATCTAACGTATCTCGTTTCAGCGACCCGCAATGTTATTATAGCTCCTCTATCGGCGCACAACGCGATGGTTTCGCGTAAAATATTAATGACAGCGAGTAGCCCGCGTTGGAAGCCGGTTCAATGTGTTCCGAGTGTTTCGCGTATCGAACAAAGCCCTCGTGAATTTTCACGGGGATTCCAGTTTTTACCGGCTCAGCTTTGGTAGAGAATGGTATCACCCAAAGGAAAATAAATGATCGTCCAATTGAAATTGGTTTTTGGCGGAATTGACGATAGAAACGTATGGACGCATTTCGAGAGGTTTGTTCAAGTTATGGGCTTTCGTTTCTTTTGTGCGTCCAAAGTTTATCGATTCGCACTCGTATTAAGATCGCCAATTGTGGGCGATCTAACACTGTATCGTAAACTTTGTCGCTATCGTGTTTCGATATTTAGATGATTTATCTAAAAGAGTAGTAATAATGTTTCATCAAGCTCGAATCAAAACTTGTGGTAAGACTACGCATAGACTACGCCCTTGAAAGACGTAAAGCTGTAGAAGCGCGAGTTCCTCGCGGCCAGAACATGAATTCTTCCAAGAAGAGAAGGACACGGATGTGGAAACAACAAAAGCAATCGAAAAATTTACGTGCTGTCCGGTCTCGGTCCCGCGAGAGCCGAGAAAATTGAAGTTTACTCGGCACTGGTAGCCAAAGTTTGTTCATAAATTACACGGCGGCGTTGTATTCAGAGCGTATTCGTGGCGAGCTGCGAGCACAAAATGCCCGGAGATTACGAGACGTTGACGAGACGAGCGAAAGACGACTCGAGAACGGCGTTGTCCTCGTCGATCGATCGAATCGAGCGTTCGAGTTTGCGCTCGCTCATCGCCGCCGGATAATCCGTTGGGGTACGCTAAATTCGCGGATCCGGTTTCGCAACGACGATTAATTCTCGCCCGTTGGGAAGTTTCCACAAAGAGACGTCGCGAAACTCGTCTTCCACCGCCGTCGACGAAAGTTCCCCTTCGCAGTCCATTTATCAGTTTAAGGTGTCAGGCTTGTATCTCGCTAAGTGAAACTCTCTTCTTTTGCACCGGGATGTCTCTTGTCCGACTGGTATCCCGTTAACGAGTGTCGCGAGCGTAAATTGAGCATGCCGGGTCACGGGGGTCTCAACCCGTCGAAAATCACTTGTTAAATGACAGCCCCGTAAATTACGTTCTGCGGATGCCACGGGACGTAATACCGAGGTGACCTAGATCGGACCTGATCCCTTTCTCCGTGCAAACCGCCTCGGAAGAATCGAGGACTGTACACGCGAGAACCCATCATCTCCAGAAATGAAGATTTTTCAGGAAATAAGAAAACGCCTTTTTTCTTGTTAAAGTAGAGAGATTCTTAGACGGAAGTAGTCGGAGCTAGAGATGAGTAGTCTTTGAACTAACGTCTTTGATTCTTGCACGATTCGCAGGAGGAGCGTATAGGATAAAAGAAAACCAGAAGTTAGCAAGGAAATCATACCGTCTACACGGGATCGTGGATAGGCGGAGAAGGCGGAAGGGGTAAGGCGTCGAATCGTTACGCGTAAATTTCCGGTGGATGAATAAATTTCGTTCGATACAACGAGAAAAATTTATTCGCCGTAAAAGCTTTTATGGCAGAAATAAAAATTCTCCGCGAACAAATTCTTGCCGCGAGAAAGATCTGGTTTTATTCCTTTCACGCGCTTTTCCTTCTTTCTGTCGTTCTTGCACCGCTCGTATGACGCACTGGCGCATAAACAGTTTGTCGAATCTTTTGTGTGTACGATTCTCGACTCACGAAATATTTGAAAAACTGTTTTACTCGAACAAAGAGTTAATCGTGTCTAATCTCTGACTCGAGACCAGCCCTGTGACACGGCACAGCGATCAGTAGTCGGAAGAGAATTTAATATTCGAGGATGGTGTTTGAAAGACCGCGCAGTAAAGCGAGAAGCTACAGAGAAACGTCGAGAGTACGAAACAACAGCAAAAGAATCAAAGCTCGGCGAGTGCACTCGTGAAAAGCATCTTCGAGCGTTGATTCAAGCACGACTCCCGAATTTACGATTTAAACGGGTACTTTTATACGCGTGTATTCAGATTAACAGATTCAAGCACGAATTCATAGACGCCTCTTTCTTTCACAAGACCCTTCCCATAGCCAGTTACCTGCGTTCGTCTCGCAATTTATGTTACCATTCGAGCACCTGCGGCGCTTCTCCACGCGAAATTTCATTTGGCGACAACTTGGCTCGCGAGATCGCAACGAGGATTACGCAGCAGAATGGCCAGCCGTAGATAATTAACGCTAATAATAAATTTCTTTCCTCGCAAAGCTCTTCCTTAAACGTTCTCTCGACGCGTACAATAGATTCCGCAATTAAGATTTTCCGGGCCGTCTGCGTGTATTGTTCTTGGCAATTAGAAGAGCGTTGTCCGGGCTCTTTGAAACGAATGAATCATATTTTTATTCGAACATTTGTTTATTTAATGCGAGGTAAGTTTTAAAGCAACCTAGAGGAATGTACTTGTCTTTTTTCTGTTCGTTTGATAATTTTACGGTATCGATTGATAATTGTAATATCGAGGCGTGGGCGGGGCAATACCGTTTCTCACAGCTGCGCATTTGAGACGC